AAAGGGGTCCCCCCCCCCCCACCCCCGCTGCCCCTGCTCTCTGGAGGCCCTCCACCTCCTCCTCCCCCACCTCCCCCACCCATCAAAGGCCCCTTCTCACCACCTCCACCCCCAGCTGCCCCTCTTCCCCCTTCAGCGCTTGATGGCCTAGCCCTTCCCACCAAGAGGAAGACAGTAAAACTCTTCTGGCGGGAGCTAAAATTAGCTGGAAGCCATGCAGGCTCTAGGAGCCGCTTTGGGCCCTGCTCCACCCTGTGGGCCTGCCTGGAGCCTGTCTCGGTGGACACAGCCCGGCTGGAACACCTGTTTGAGTCCCGTGCCAAGGACATTCTGCCTTCCAAGGTAAATGCACCCTCATCTGTAAGGTAACCCAGTGAAGAGGGGAGGGAATCAGAGCTCAAGGGTCTGAACTGTTGAGGTTGCCACTCATCTCCCACATGGAGAAATTGAGGCCAAAAAAAGAGTAGGGACTTGTCTGAGGTCTCTCAAGATGGTGTCAGCAGAGCCCTAACTAGCATCTAAGTTCATTTCAAGGCCTTACACATCCCAGCTCCCTGGGTGTGGGGTGGCCCCACCATTTGGCCATTTAGAGGGGGGCCTTGGAATGCTCTTTTAGATTGTTGCCCCAGCTAGTCCCTTTCCCAATCGTACACCTTCTCCCAATCTCAAAGAAAGCTGGTGAGGGCCGCCGGACAATGACCACTGTGCTGGACCCCAAGCGCAGCAACGCTATCAACATTGGCCTAACCACACTGCCACCTGTGCATGTCATTAAGGCTGCCCTGCTCAACTTTGATGAGTTTGCTGTCAGCAAGGATGGCATTGAGGTGGGGATACCAAGCTGGGAATGTGGAAAGGAGGTGGGAGGTCCGGCCTTCTTTGTTCAGTGGACATTTCCTGCCCCTCCAGTGGTGGATATGGGCTTGGCATTTCCGCAGAGCAGTCCCCAGACCCTGGGGCTCCCCCAGATGACCCAGGGAGGAGTCAAGATCAACACCTGTGGCCTCAGGCTAGCACTGAGTGGCCTATGTGGGGTGGTGGCTATATCCTCAGAAGCTGTTGACCATGATGCCCACGGAGGAGGAGCAGCAGAAGATCGAGGAGGCCCAGCTGGCCAATCCTGACATACCTCTGGGCCCAGCTGAGAATTTCCTGATTACTCTTGCCTCCATCGGGGGCCTGACCGCCCGCCTACAACTCTGGGCCTTCAAGCTGGACTATGACAGCATGGAGCGGGTACCTGGGTCATGGGATGGGATGGGCAGTGGGGGCAGGTTAGCATGATCGCTATGTAGTCTGAGAGTCCCTGGCTTCCCACACAGGAAATTGCAGAGCCACTGTTTGACCTGAAAGTGGGCATGGAACAGCTGGTGCAAAATGCCACCTTCCGCTGCATCTTGGCCACCCTGCTGGCTGTGGGCAACTTCCTCAATGGCTCCCAGGTAAGTGACAGCACAAGGGCTGGGAGCCAGGGCTCTGGAGCCAGCCAGGCCCAGGCTCAGACGAGGTCCTTTCAGAGCAGTGGCTTTGAGCTGAGCTACCTGGAGAAGGTGTCGGAGGTGAAGGACACAGTACGCCGGCAGTCACTGCTGCACCATCTTTGCTCCTTGGTGCTGCAAACCCGGCCTGATTCTTCTGACCTCTACTCAGAAATCCCCGCCCTGACCCGCTGTGCCAAGGTTAGCACCAGCCAGAGGCTTAACTAAGACTAGCTACTATGTGAGGGAGTGCTGCTTCCTGGGACTGGCTTCTCCCCTTCTCCGTATTTCAGCTGTTGTGCCAGGTGTTGCTCAGCTACAGGTGTTTGTGTGGGCTGTGTCCTCCACCAGAAACACTTTCCTCTACTGGCCTGGCTATACCTACTCAGTCTTTGAGTCTCAGTTTAGCTGTCACCTCCCCTGTTCCTCATTGGATCAAATGGACTTGTCTATCTTCTGCATTAGACGGTGAACTTTTGGAGGGGAGGGAGCAGATATCATTCATGTCCCTATAGCCCAGGCTGTGGGGGGAACAGCTTGTGTACCCCTGCTTTTCCAGGTGGACTTTGAGCTGCTGACTGAGAACCTGGGACAGCTGGAGCGCCGGAGCGGGGCAGCTGAGGAGAGTTTGCGGAACTTGGCCAAGCATGAGCTGGCCCCAGCCCTGCGGGCCCGCCTCACCCACTTCTTGGCCCAGTGTGCCCGCCGCGTTGCTATGCTGCGGGTAGTGCACCGCCGTGTCTGCAACAGGTGGGGGCATGGGCCAGAGACAAGACTACCACACCACATCTCACCCCCAAGCAAGACTCAGTATCCTTTCCTATCCCAACATGCCTAGGTTCCACGCCTTCCTGCTATACCTGGGATACACAGCACAGGCAGCCCGTGAAGTGCGCATCATGCAGTTCTGCCACACGCTGCGGGAGTTTGCACTAGAGTACCGGACTTGCCGGGAACGGGTGCTGCAGCAGCAGCAGAAGCGGGCCACATATCGTGAACGCAACAAGACCCGGGGACGCATGATTACTGAGGTGGGTGCCCCTTTTTGACTGCCACCCCCATGGTTTCCTTCTCTGGCCCTCAGCTCACCTTTCTCCATCTCCAGACAGAGAAGTTCTCAGGTGTGGCTGGGGAAACTCCCAGCAACCCATCTGTCCCAGTGGCTGTGGGTAGCGGGCCAGGCCGGGGTGATGTGGATAGTCATGCCAGCATGAAGAGTTTGCTGACCAGCAAGCCTGAGGATACCACACACAGCCGCCGCAGCAGAGGTGGGACCTGTGGCTGCTGGGGCAATGGGCTTTGCTTTGGGGCCACCTTGGCCTGACCTCCCTACCTTGTCTCCCTCAGGCCTGGTCCAGAGCAGCTCCCCAGTCATACCTATAGCAGTAGGGCCCTCCACTGCACCCCCAGAAGAACCCCCAGGCTCCAGTTTACCCAGTGACACTTCAGATGAGATCATGGACCTGCTGGTGCAGTCAGTGACCAAGAGCAGTCCTCGTGCCTTAGCTGCTCGGGAACGCAAGCGTTCCCGTGGCAACCGCAAATCTTGTGAGTACTCCCCACACGCCTACTTCCCACCTTAACCACACCAACCCCCTCCAACCCTGCTCTGTCCCTACAGTGAGACGGACCTTGAAGAGCGGGCTTGGAGAGGACCTGGTGCAGGCACTGGGACTGAGCAAGGGTCCTGGCCTGGAAGTGTGAAGGTGCTGCCTCCAGGATACCTACCTGGGCCAGCCTGCATGCAAGAGACTATAGAGTGAGGAGAGACCAGAGCAGAATTCTAGGCATCTTCTCAACCCTGGAGTCACTCTGTGCCCAGTGGCCAGTGCCTTAAGCAGTATTATGTGTGTGTACCTGTGTGCATGTGTACATCTGTGTGTATTTGTGTGTGTGTGTGTGTGTGTGCATGCATGCATGTATGAGCTCTCTGAACACATGGAGCAAAATAAAGTTTCTTAGCCAATCCAAGAGCCTTTTTCTTCTTTCAAGGTATAACCACACTAGGTCTATAGGAGGAAAATAGCAAAGGACTGGGTCTTCCTGCCTTGTGCCTCATCATCACCCACACAGCCATTAGCCACATTCTAAGTCATTTATTCAACAATCTATACCTTAGACTAGCTTTTGGCCCCTGGAGTAGGCCTCCACTGCTCCTGGCATGAGGCCACAAAGCCTGATATAGACACCCAGGACCCAGCAGCCTGTGGTCACGTTAGTGGTTATAACCGTTTCATCTGCCGCCGTTCCTGTCGGCGCTGCCTTTTCTCATTATGCTCTGGTGCTGGGGCACCACTGTCTGCTGTGAGCCAAGGGCCCAGCACATTCACCCACAGGAGGTAAAGGGCCCGGCCTGGAGCCTAGGAGAGAAAAGGTAACTTAAAGCCAGGTTTAGGAAATGAAAGAAGAGAAAGGTTAGATGCCCGAGCCCCTTCTTGGGAGCCCAACAACCCACATACCAGAAGCCAGAAGAACCAGATGTAGAGAGAGAAGCAGCTGAGCACCTGTACAATGGCTGTCAGTAGGATCACATCCTTAAGGTGCCTGTGGATAGAAGAGAGACTGCAAAAGCCAAAAATAATAGATGGGCCCCAACTCAGCTCCCTTCCACCCTCTTCAGGTTGTTGGCAGCTGTGGGTCTTAGGCTACCTGGGCCCCAGCACCCCAGCCCTGGGGCCGCTCACCTGGGCTGGCGGTGGGGGACACTCACTCTGCCATGCCCTGCTCCATGTTGAGGTCCATTCCACCATCTATCAGGGCTCCATCCTCAGAGAAGGCGGCCCGTGCCATCGAGCTCATAGAGTGGTAGCTGGCCCCATATACTGCCAGACTAAAGCCCAAGGCCATCTGAAGAACAAGAATGGGTATATCAAAGGCCAGCCACTGACTCTATATGTGCTCATCCACTTTTCAGGATTGGGGATACTTACCCAGGCCCAAAATGAGGCAGATGAGTAGAAGAAGACCAAGGTCACAAGACAGTAAATGGCCTGCAAGCAGACACAGTATCAGGGTGGGATCAAAAGCTACCCTAAACCACGGGCCTCCCTTGACACTGACCAAGAGTGAGGCCAGGCTGTGGAAGGAGACAGGTTATTTTTTTATAGGGTTGGGGGAAAAAAAGGGGTCTGCTCCCTGAGTCCTGGGTACCCAGACCTCTCCTCTAACACATCAGCCTAGAAAAGAAGCCTCTGTGTATTTGAGATGAGAAGGGCTCTCAAGTTCATCTGAGACCCACGTCCTCATTTTGGTTTCGTTTTGACTACTCAGCCTTTCCTCTGTGCCAGGATCCTTTCTCATTTCTTTTTAATTGGAGGTTTCTTCTGGAACTTTGATTGTCACACACCACCACCACCATCACTACTGTCAAAGAGAGATGAGGACTGTAGATGGGTACAGAAGCAAGGAGGCAGGTACTTACATTGGCCCCCAGTATGATCCTCAGGTAGAACTTCAGGGTCTCTCTGTTCTCTTCAAATATCTGCTTCTTCCCTCTCGTCGCCACTTTGCCCTTGGGCTGCGGAGGGATGATGAGATGCTGTGAGAGCCCTTCTCACTCTCACCACCAGTCTGGTTAGCTAGAGAGTTCCATCTGAACCTCCGCCAGGTCCACACAGTGCTCAAACCTAGCTCAATCCTTGGGATGTCCACCTCTCCTCCAGTTCATCCTGCTTAGGGCTGACACCATCTTTCCAACACCCTAGCTATGATCGCCTTCTGCACACCCTGGAACAATCCAACACTAAGTTGATACTGTCTGTCTCCCGAAGTAAGATCCAGCTCTGGGCTGACGATCTTCCTTCATGGGGGACTCCTGAGAGGAGCTGAATGGTGCCCCTTTCCGGCCTCTGCTGGAGTAGTCCAGATCTCAGCTGACGCCCACCCCCTACAGGCCTCACATCTTTGGCCAGTTCTGGTACTATCTGGTACTGACGCCCACTCCCACTCCAGCACCAGTTCTGGAACGGTCCTGCGCCGCTCCATTCCATCCGCCTCTCTCTAGTACGGTCCAGTCACTGAATGGCGCCCCCCTCTGGCCTACCCGCTTGTCTCGATGCCCTTCCTGTTTTCAGTCTCCTGGCCCCGGGAACGCTTTGCCGATGTGGACTCCGCCCTACCCGCCCTCCTTACCGCCATGGTGAGACGCAAATACCCAGCCGGGGAAATAAGGGATAGCAAACGAAACCAGTTAGTAGGTACCACATCGACAGCACAGGCACTTCCGGTGCAGATCCAAAACGTAACCAACTGGGACGGAAATGGGTGGTCCACTTCCTGTTCTGGCCCCGCCCTCAGAGTCAGTAGGACTATACTTCCCAGAAAGCCTTGCGCGGGGGCGGAGGCGGCAGGGATGCGATGGCGGAGTTGCTGCCGCCGGAGGTGAGAGGAGGCCGCTCTCAGGCCTAGCTCGGGACAGGCCCCGCCCTCAGGGTTCTGGGCTGTGGGGAGGGGCTGTTAGACAGCTTGCTGGGTCCCGCCTGCCAGGCGGAAACGACCCCCCGGGGAGGTGGTCGGGATCCCAGGACCTACAAGCTATGGGTTACGGCGCCGCCTTAGGGCTACTCCGTCCCCTAAGCTTGGGGGACCATCCTCTTCTTCCCTTTTGGCCTCAGGAGATGGCTGCTCTGTCACCTCAGCCAGGACAGGGCCTCTGCCTACCTGCATTCTCTTGAGGTGGCCGCCCCTCCCCCTCAGTTCTGGAAGATGTCCGCTCCATCCCGTCGTCCCCAAGGGTAACCAGTCTTATCCCCACTGGCCTCTTAGGATAATTGCTACATTCCCTCCGCCCCGAGGGACGGCTGTCCCCTCCCTCTTGTGGTGGGAGACAGACTACCCCCTTTCATCAACTCATGATCGCTGAGTTCTTTCACCTAAGACAGGCCTGCTCCCTACTCCCTCGACCCTTAGTGATGGCCGCCCTACCTCCTTAGCCCCATGGAGATTTTTGCCCCTTCTCAGCCTGGAGCAAAAACACTCTGCCACCATTGTTCAGAGAGAGATAACAGGTGTTGTCCCAGTGGCTTATTGGAATGGCCTCTCCGTCCTTCTTTCCCGGAGAGGCTGCTGCCCTCAGGAAACAGGGCACGCTTTCTCCATGGGCCCTGGAATGGCAGCCTTTCCCCTTACCAAAAATAGGGCTGCTCCCACCCCGTTGAGCCCCCTGCCATTGCATCTTTTCTCCCCTTGGTCCCAGAAGATTTCTGCTTCATCCCCATAGATCCCAGGAATGAACCACTCATAGCTCTAGTAGTCCCTTGGGATGGGGTTCATGGGATGGCCACTCCATCCTTATTACTGCCTTCTCTGGTCCTTCTAGAAAGGCTACCCACCTTCTACCTTCTCAGCTTCAAGAATGGTGCTCCCTACCCTCAGTGAAGACAGGTTTTTTGTTCCCTTCCTTTGCTCCTTGAGTTGGTTGCTGAGGCCCAAAAGACAGGATAGCCAGTCTGTTATCTCCACTTAGACAGGCTTTCCTGCCTCCTCCTGGGTTTGGGGGCTTGGTCAGTCTGAGTCCCCATCAGTGTTCTCTTCCCCATGTCTAGCCTCCCTGACCCAGAAGGCTGTTCCCTCCAGTCATTCTCTCAGTAATTGATCTGCTTTATCTCCCCACTCCTTCCCTGAGCAAACCTTTGGTGAAAATAGAGGTAGAGGACCGTCCATCCTTAATTCAATCCAGTTAAGTACTGATGGAACACCTTCTGTATGCTAGGGATGAAAAAAGAGAAGAGATCAGAATGGGCCAGTGAGGTCAAGCTTAAGAAAGAGCATTCCAGGAAAGAGGCCCACACAGGCAAAAGGAAATAGACATGCTGTGTTTGCAGGACACTGGGGAGACTGGATTAGGGAAGCTCTGGAATCACGGGTTCAGTTGAGCATGGAGTCCTGGCAGGGCTGACCCCAAGAGTGGAGGTTTTATCCTGAGGGTACTGAGATACCTTGAAGGTTTTCATCAGGGGTATGCTAAGATTGAAAACTGTTTTTTAGGAAAATTAACCTTGCTGCAGTGTGCAGAATGGTTAGCAAGGATGAGCTTGGAGGCAGGGAGTTCAGGTGGGAGACTGGAAGGCATCCAGGTCTAAAATGATGAAAATCCAGGCTACTACAGTGGTAAAATTTCAAAAGTAGAAATATTAGTAACAGCAATCCAGCAGTCATTTATGGAACACCTACTAGGTGTCAAGCACACATCTATTAAATGTACATATAATTTAATTTCCATAAGACTGTGATCTAGATTTTCTAATATCCCCATTTTATAGATATGGAAACAGGCTCAGAGAAGTTAAGTACCTTGTTTGAGGTCACACAGATTACACAGCTAGGAAGTAATGGAGTTGGGATTTGAGTGAGTCTTAAGTTAGCCTGGCCTAGGGCCTGTGCTTTACACCTATATCTGAGAGCAAGGGACAGAAGAGCCCAAAGGGTACAAAGTATTATTAAGATCTTCAGGTAAGATGCACTGCTGGCATTAAAACTCGGGTGCTAGAAAATTGGGAAGATGGGCTGCTTTGGACTGAGGGCAAAATATAGATTTTAGTTGAGATGAAGATGATCGTAAAATATTTAGACGAAGCTTCCTGTGGATATTTGGCAACACTGGACTAGCACATGAATAAGACAATATGGGGATATTGAATGTTGGTTACTCCTTAGAGGTAACTGTTCAAGCCATGCAAATGAATATTATCCTAGGAAGTAAACAGATTGAAAGACCCAGGTCCAAGTCCTGGGAGCCACATAAGAATCCAGAAACGGCAATTGGAGTGGTGGTTGGAGCCCTAGAAAGCACAGTGTCACAAGAGTCAAGGAGAGAAGGTTCCAGAAGAAGAGTTAATATCAGATCATTCCTAGGCTCAGACAACTCCCTTCTCAGTACCCTATAGGGCCTCCAACCTCAACCCTCCCCCACCTCACCCCCACCCCCATAAAGCATAGGAGGAGCGAGGGCCTAAGCCTCCCGGGCTGGTTTTGCTGGGATCATATCTTACCAGCTGAGAAGGCAAGTTGGCAGTGGAGGAGATGGGAAAAGGGTGGATTCCCAGAGCCTGACCTATGAGAGCAAAAGGAAGAGATATAGCTTCCTGAATTTGGGGGGTCCAGCACCTACCTGTCTTACTGTGTTCTAGATCCTATGCAAGACATGTTACTATGTTATTTAAGTCTCACAATAACACATTTAAATCTCACTACAATTGCCATTTTATGGATAAGGAAAACAAGGTTCAGAGAGGTCAGTTGATAAAGAATTTGAATTACATTTATCTGGTCCCTATATCCAGGCTCTTTTTACCAAACTGAGCAGGAAGTTTGATTTTTATCAATCAATACAAACCTGCATCCAGATAGTGCTCAGGAAAGATTTGTTCACCATAGATACTTGGAGGCTGGAGAGGGGAAGTGAAGACACCATGAAGCTTAGGATCCGAGATGAACTAGAAGCCAATGCTCTAGTCCCCTCAGACCTACAGTGCTATCAGCTGGAGAAAGTTCCAAAGGCCCTCAGGTCTAACAGTGCCCCATGCCCTGTCTTTTTCCCTCAGATGCTTACATATATTCTGAGCTTCCTGCCTCTCTCAGATCAGAAAGAGGCCTCCCTCGTGAGTCGGGCTTGGTACCGTGCAGCCCAGAATGCCCTTCGGGAGGTAAGGTACCTACCTTCACCTGGCCCATTTTCAGTTGTCTCTCACTTCAGCTTGCTCATGGCCCTGTTCCTACATCGTCCATCCATTCGCTCATGCATACATATTCATACATTACATTCATATGTACTTGGCTCTTGGTACAGTGCTATACAGATGAATAAGGCATTGCCCCACCCCCGAGGAGCCCATAGTCCAGTGAAAGAGAAAGACAAGTGATTATAATATTGTGTGCTCAGTGCTATGACACTGGAATGAAATATGCAGTGGGAACATAAGAAACGACATCTAAAGGAGACCGGCAGCATCAGGAAGGGCTTCCAAAAAGGATAGGATGGAGATGAAGGCTGGCCTTCCAGGACTGGTAACAGCACACGTGAAGGTACCAAGGTATGAAATAGTTCTGGAAACGACCACACAAGTCATTTCATGTGACTAGAACTTAGGTGTGTGGGGGAGAAATGGTGGGAGATAAGGCTAGAAAGGGGTCAGACTGCAGGCCGGCAGGTGTGCCAGGAGGCATTGCTGGGGCTTTGTCCTGGTTACCATCATAGAGCCTTTAAAAGAATGTTAAGGCAAGGGAATGACATGGGGTGTTTCGTGTCTTAGAATTCTGCAGTGCAGATTGGAGAGGAGAGGGTGAGTTGGAGTGTAGGGAGACAGCTCAGCTAGGAGGTGAATACAGATGTCTATGCTAGTTTGAAAGGCAAGCAATGATAACTTTAATTTTTACTTCTTTGATTATTACTAAGGTTGACAATTTATATTTCCCTCTTTTGTTTATTCATGTTCTTTATCCATTTAACTATTAGGGTCTTAGTATTTTTTCTATTTGTATAAACTTTTTATACATTAAAGAGATTAATCTTTTACATATTTATTGAAATATATCGCTAGTATGTTTCCCTTTTAATTTGATTTGTAGATGTGTTTGTTTATGAGATACAGAGATTAAATTTCTATGTTGATTTTGAACATCTTTTTATTTCTTCCATTGCTTTTTAAACTTAGCGGTCCCTTGCCTCTTCAGAGACTTGATATACACTCATTTTTCTTCTGGATTTTTTTAAATTAGACTTTATTTTTTAGAGAAGTTTTAGGTTCACAGCAAAATAGTTTCTTCTGTTTTATGGTTTCAGTTTTCATATTAATTTTTATTGGTGAAATTTATTTTGGTTTATGCTATGAGTAAGAAGCTAAACTAATTTGTTTTCAAATAGCCCAAATATCATTTATGTATAATCTTCTCTTCCCCGCTGGGTTGGAATCCTCCTTTGTCACGTATTAAATATTTAGGACCTGTTGTTATCTATCTAGTGTCATTGAGCTTACTGTCTAAAGGAATTTGATTTGGACTTGTTGAAAATTTGAAGTGTGAGATACTTAGATGGATTTATTTGATAGTTGGATTTCTATTTGGTAGTTGGATTTTTGAGAAAGGAATTCAAGAGAAGGGTGTGGATAATAAATATACATTTGGGTGTCGTTAAAGAATGGGTAGAAGTTGAAGCCATGGCAGATTCCCTCAGGGAGAGCATGAAGAGCCATAGGAACAGCAGCCCACAGAAAATGAATGCTCCAGGGGAGGATACAATCCAAGGGCATGAAAAGGAGAAGGTGCCTATAGAGGGGGCTGAGGAGATCCCAGCAAGAGGAGGGCACAGTAGTAAAAGGTTACTGAGCATTTAAAGTGTCGAATGGATTACTATCAATGTCAAATCCCACAGAGAGCCTAGAAAGTAAAGAACAAATAGTGCTCATGATGTTTGACATACAAGGAAGACACCAATGGCTTCAGCAAGATTTGGTGTCTGGGGAAAGACGTGAGGTGGGTTGTGGAGTGAATGAGAGAAGAAAAGAAAAAATGTGGAGAGTTTCTCCATAAAAGGAAGAAAATAAATATGGTAGTGATGAGAGCACAAGAAAGTAGTTGGAATGGTATGAAATGCCGTTTGCCAGGTTCATGTGGAGGGGAACAAAGTGTGTGTGGGGCAGCAGGGCGAGTGCAAAAAACCATGAGGAATCCACTTGTCTGTGCACTGGATCATTCTATTCTTTGGTGACCTCAAAAGAGGCTGATGGGGAGTAGGCTAACAGGTAGGAGAGCCAGGAGGGCAGTTGCAGAACCCACAGTGGGAGATAGCATCAAGAGGAGACTGGCCATCCATAGCAGGTGGCAGAGAGGACACTTGTGGTTGGTCTACAGAGAAGCCCCCAGATGTTGATGACCTTGCTGGAGGGGAGCTGTTGCCAGGAATGAGTGATTCTGTGGGGGCAGTGGCAGAGGGGTAAATGGGTGAAGCAAGAGATAAACAGGCGGCCAGAGCAGGTGTGGATGTGCGCATGTGCTTCCAAGAAGCATGGAGGGTAGGGGAGAAATAGGAGAGATGAGAAGAGAGGGTGCAGGAACAAGGGAAACTTTTTGTCGTTTAAGGCTCCGAGGTGTTTGTGGACTCTAAGGAAAGAACAGTGGAAAGGCAGAGACTGCAGAGTTCCCAGAGGAGAAGGTGGAGGACAGGCTCAGTAGGTCAGGAGAAGGGAGTTGCTTGAACTGAAGAGCAGGAGAAGGAAGGAGGTTAGAATGGGTCCTGCCAGCAGTGGGCTGGTGGATGTAAACAAAGGGAGGGCCTTCCCACCCGATGGCTTTGGTTTCTTTTGGAAACAGAACAGGTTATCTCTGAGAAGGCTGGAGTGAGGGAGGGTGCTGCAGTAGCATCAGGGGCTGAAAAGATGGTGTGCTTGGAGATAAATCTCAAGGGAGATGAGAAGAGAGCCAGGAGGCGGAGAGGAGGCAGGAGTGGGGGTGGCCAGTGCTGACAGTGCAAGAAGAGAGAGCACGGCTTCCTCAGTACAGAATTCTGTTTCACCAGCACACACCCATGGGAAGCAGCGATCTCCCTGGCTAGGCAGGAGGCAAGGAGAATGAGCACAGCAGCATGACTGGGGTGGGACCATGAGGACCCTGAGGAGATATAATGAAGGAAGAGACCTCTTAGAGTCCAGCAAAGAAGGAGAGGGTAGAAGAAGCAAAGTGGGCAGTCAGGCCTGGTGAAATTGGACTAGGAGTAAGGGAGTGAGGTGAAGAAGAGACCAAGGACAGACTTTGGGATCTTAAGAGTCCACCATTTTAGTGTGCTGGGGCTGCTCCACATAGGACCTTGGCAGAGACCTATTTGGTACCTCTGTAAAATTCAGCCCCAACACCCCTGCCCCCACCCCAGGCTGGAAGCACTGGGAGGCCAGGCCACAGGTACCTGGGCATCTAGGGCCCTGCTGACATCTAACCACTACCATGTCCCAGAGAGCTATCTGCAGAACCCTTTTGGCAGGAACTATCTTTCAGGGCCCAGGTGTGGGCAGGTTGATAAGGAGGTAGTGCCCCAACTAGAAGATGCTATGGAAGATTCTGGCTTATGACTTTTATGAAGCTGAGGCCTGTGGTTCAGCATGCCAGGCTAGGGCACTAGACTTGGTGACTTCTTATCCCCCCAACCTACCCCACTTAATCTCAGTTTTTTTCAAATAAGAAGGTAGACAAAGGCAGCACCCCTACATAACAACCAGGTTCTGCCCGTTCCAGGGGGGTTCCAGTTGCCTGCTGCTGGGTTGGTCATGTGAGGAACTCAGGACAGCTCAGCTTCCACCCTCCTCTGCCTTCTGCCTGAGGTATTTATAAAGACCTGGATATCTAACTCCTCTAGAAACCGAAGCCCCTGGGTTCCAGGGCATATGTTTTCTCAAAGGCCTTCTAGAGAACAAGTGTGTTAGCTTTGGATTCCTGTAATAGCAGATAGAGGACCATTTCTGTATCAGATGTCTTTCCAAGTCTGCACACAGGCCTGCAGCCTCAGGTCAGGCTTTACGAGGTACAACGAAATCCTGACCCCTCACAGTCAAAGGACATGTCACTTTCAGCAGGTGTAGGGCATTTCCCAAATAACTTAGAATTTACTCTTAAGATGCCAGCATTGGGAAAGGAGGAGACCAGGAGCTGGGTGGCCCCTCTGTGGATGGGGCAGCTGAAGCTGGCGTAGGCACTCTTGCAGTCCTCCCTTGGGCCTCTAGAATCATCTTCCTAGGGTTTGAGGAGGGAAACTTTCTTACACCAGGGCTAAAGACCAGGACCCAGGACCCTGCTTCTTATGTCTGCTGCCCTGCTCCCCCTTTCCCCATAGATGATCCATATCCCCAAAAGGCTGCTCCTGGGCTCCTGTACTTTGAGTCCAGGCTAGACCACCTGGGTGATGACTTACAGGCTGACCCCTTGCCAACAAGAAAAATGGTGGAGAGCAGGTCTCAAATCTTATCCCACTGCATAGTTGGAAGTCCTGTAGACTAGGCCCTGCCCCTTTATCAGGTGGCTTTTGCTGCTACCAGCCAGCCCTGGACTTGGACCCTGGGCTGACTGCCAGTGCCTGCCCTTGGCTGCTCATCTACTTTGTTCATAGGGAGGCAGTAGGACGAGGAGAACATTCCTTTCTCCCTAAGCTCATAAAGGAAGGCAAAGAATTAAGACTGAAGGCTGCCACAGCTGGGGCTTATGGGGGTGGCATATGACTGTGGGGGCAGGTGCTGCCTCCACACTCAGCATGTTCTGAACTCCCCCAGCCATAGTTCATTCCATGCATCATCAGATTGGCTCATCTGGCATGCAGGGATTTGAGATGGCTGGGGCCTGCTTTACCTTTCCTTTCTAAAACTTTTCCTCCCTGATCTTTTCATCACCCTCTCCACTCTGACAAACTGGGATCTTCCTCAGCTCTACTTAAATCTGAGAGGGACTCAGGTTCTTGGGAGTCCCCACTATCCCACTGTCTCCCAGTGTCTAGGAGGGGTTCTGTGGGGAGTGCTCCTCTCATCCATAATGACAATGTCCTGGGAATGGGGTCTTGAAAGGGAACCTGGTTTGACTCCCGATTGCTGTGGAAGCAGCCAGAAGCTGGTTTCCATCTCTTACCACACATTCCTTCTCAAGATGACAGTCGTGGTGGCCATAAGTGGCTGCTTCTGTCTGGCAGAAGCCAGGCTGGTTTCTCCACACCTGGGGATGAGTTCTGGGTGTCTTCCTGGGAGGATCTTGTTGATAATTGTCATGTGGGAGTGCATATTATGTATCATTTCTGCCTTTTTGCTTCCCTTTGATGATGTTCTGTGGGGTACAGCAGGGAATATGAGCTTGTTCTTGTGGTTGCTGAGAGGACAGGTTTTTTAGGAAGCTTGGTTTCTTACAACAGGATCATGTTGATACATTAAGATAAGAGCCTTCTTTGAGTACCACTTACCTGCAACCCGGCATCCTCAGCAATAAGAGAAATCGGGCTAGGATTTTAGAAGCCCCCTTCGCCCTCTCCCCACAGACCTATTCCACAAAGATCTGCACCAACTGCCCTTTGGCTCCCTCTGGCACAAGATCGAAGAAGGTTCTGTGAAAAATCTCAGCTGTAGGCTCCCCAGATTCCTACACAAGCCAGATTATTCCTACAATGACTTAGCCCTGAGCTGGCTTCCTGCCCACCCCACCCCAGCCATGTGCTCCCCATTCTCACTCCCCTGTTCCTCTACAGCAGGACCAGCTCAACTTCCTCAGTGCCTCTGAGATTCATTCTTTTAGCTCTTGCCCCCAGAAATGGAGGCTTCTCTTTCCTTAGCTGAATAAGACAGACCCTCCAGAGATGAGCCTCAGGGATCACAAGCACATCTTGAACTCTGGAGCTTGCATGGCCCACACATGTTAGCAGCACGTGCACACATACATGCATGCACACATTTTCACTTAGACACAAAATCCATTTTTTATGAACATTCATTTGGCTGAGACACTGAAGCACCAGGAGACCTCGCCTCACTGCCTGCCCTGGACCTCTGTCATCTGGGCGACCAGCGGGTTGTGGTAACACCTGCCTCACCTCTTCCAGCATTCAGCTGTTCTGAGGGCTATTTATATGCTCTCAAGAAAGTAGGGGAAGCTGGTTGCTTAGCTAATGCCAAGCTCTGAGTCCCTGGAGTAGGAGCTGAATCCATGGGTCTCAGGGCCACCTTCTGAAAGTTCCAAAGATTGGAGTCCAGCATGCTTTATCTTCCTGCTCCCTGGGGTCTTCGCTGGGTCTCCTCCAGGCTGCCCCCTCAGGCCTCTTGTACCCGGCATGCCAGCTCCCCGCTCTGTCCCCATCCTTCCATAGGCATCCAGTCCCATCCATCACTAACCTGCTTGTCCTCCCCTCATAGTCATCCCCTTGGGCCCCAGTGTGACTTGTCCTCCAGCTCCCACTTCTGACCAGCACCCCCTCAACCATATATGACACTACATACTGCAGTGGGTCTCCTTGTAGAAGGGCCCTTTGACCTCCCCTCAACCTCTGGCCAGCAACTTGCCACCAGACCTGATGCCCAGCACCCCCCAAGACCAGATGACTAACCCAGGCCTACTGCTGCCCCTTAGACAAATGTGCGGTACAAGATCCCTGTGTCTTCAGCCTCACTCCCAGGCATCAAGAGCCTGGGCCTCAGGGGCATCTCCTGCATCGGCCTGACCAACCTGGATGGCTCGCCAGCTTCACATCAGGTGCTGCAGTCTGTTGCTTACCACCTGGGCCCACACCTGCAGAGCTTATGCCTTGGTGGGGGCAGCCCCACAGAGGCCTCTTTCGTGGCCCTAATCTTGGGCTGTCCAGCCCTGCGTAGCCTGGATCTCAGTGGCTGCAACAGCCTCTTCGTATCTGGCATGCTGCTAGCTCAGCCAGAGACAGCACAGCGGGTCCAGCAGGCACTGAGTGGCCTTCGTGAGCTCAACCTGGCTGGCCTGCAGAACTTGGCTGACCTTAGTTTCAACCGTCTCAGCAGCTGTGCCCCATACCTGGAGCGCCTCTCTTTGGCCTACTGTCACCTCACCTTCGAGCTAGGCCCAGCCCAGGGCTCCAGAGTCCCCCAGGAATCCTCCCCGTCCCAATTCTCCTTCCGCAACCTGCTGCGATTTGTGAAGGAGCGGGCTAGTAGGCTTCATGCCCTGGACCTGAGTGGCACTGGCTTGCTACCTGAGGCCCTGCAGGCCCTGGGCCAGGTGGCGGGGCTACAGCTGCAGGAGCTGAGCCTGCACAGCTGCCGGGACCTCTCCACAGAGGCCGTGGCTGCTCTCTGCCACCAGCAACCAGGCCTTACCTTTTTGGACCTTAGCGGCTGCTCCGAACTGACTGACGGAGCACTCTTGGCTGTGAGCCGGGGCCTGCAACACCTGCAGCACCTTAACCTGAGGAAATTGCAGCGGCTGACAGATGCAGGATGTACAGCCCTGGGGGGCCTGTGGGAGCTGCAGAGCCTCGACATGGCAGAGTGCTGCTTGGTGAGCGGGCGGGAATTGGCCCTGGCTCTGGGCTCTGTGCATGGAACTCCACCCCCACTGACCTCCCTCAGCCTGGCCTACTGTTCCTCACTCAAGGTGAGCCTACCATCCCCTCCCTTCCTCACCAGGGCTCAGGGCTGGCGGGACTGGGCATCTGGCATCAGGCATCAGGGAAGAACTGCCTGGTGCTGTGTCCAAGGAATAATAGTTAAAACTGAACTTGAGATACAGTCTGGAAGAGGAAAGGATCCTTGACAGACAGTGCTGCCCCTCAGCAGTCCTCCTGGTAGCCCCAAACCAGGTACTTGGTGACCGCTGCAGTCTGGGAAAAGGCACTGAGGGCAGATGTTCGAGAAGCAAGGAAAGCTAGTGAAAGATGACAGAACCAAGCCCTGCAGGGAAGAGGCACTGAGGTTACACAGAAGAGGTTGCTCAGGCAGGGCCTAAGGGAGATAATGTGATGTGTGGGCAGCAGGGTCTTTTTGGCTGGAGCCTCCTATAGGGCTCAGCTCTGTCTCTCCAAGTGGTGTCCCTGTCTTAGCAATGTTAGTCCTCTTTAGTGGATTATTCCTTCAGTCCATCAGTATGACCAGGGTATTCACAACCTGAAAACCATCTCTCAACCTTTTCCCCACAAACACCTCTCTTCCCCTGCCCCACTCTACTATGTGTGGGCCCACTAGGGCCCCATGTTCTTGTGTCTTTGCATCTCTACAAACCAGCTTCCTCTACTCTGCCCTAAGCTCCTGCTCCCACTACCACAACTGCTTCTGGCAAGTGGCAGCCCTGTGCCCACTGTGACCTCACAGTTCTGCTTCAAATTCTAGAGGGAGCTAGTCTAATAAGCTGTGGTCAGAGGGCGGCCTCGGCCCACCCCTTCACTGGGAGCATAGGCAGGGCAGATACCTTAGAAATTTCTACCAGCATCCTTCCTTCCCTAGCCAATCTAGGCCTTTGTTCTCCAGCAAACTCCTGGTTCCTAACCGCATGGCTCTCGTGTTTACTCTGACCCTTCACCAGCTAGTGATCTTGTTGCTTCCCTCCCTGGACCCTCTGATAACCAGAACCTTCCTAGTGATTCTTGCCAAGCTTGGTGACACAGGAACAAGCCACCTCTCATTGCTCTCTCCTTTCTCCACTTGTCTCCTAGGATGCCTCAGTGTTCTCCCTGATTCCAGTACTGGGCCCAAGCCTCAGGGTGCTAGACTTATCCTCCTGTGTGGCCCTCACCAACCGGACCCTGCAGGCCATTTGCACCTACCTCACCCAACTCTCAGTCCTGCGCCTGGCCTGGTGCAAGGAGCTCCAGGACTGGGGGCTTCTGGGTCTTGGGGAACCAAGTGAGGAGCCAGTGCAGGGCTCCCAGGTGCGGGACCCTTGAGGTCATGGAGGGTTGGGTGGTGCCTGGGCCCAGCTGCCCTCCTGCTCCTCCTGAGTCTCTCTCTAGGATCATTTGAGGGCCAAACTCAGGAGGAATCTGAGAAGCAGGGGTCTCTTTCTACAGCCACACCAAAAGCTGGAGCATCAGGCCTCAGGCCCCAAGGACCCTTCTTCCCAGCCACAGGGCCCCTCCCTGCTCATGTTGCAGGCCCTGCAAGAGTTGGACCTCACAGCCTGCAGCAAGCTGACTGATACCAGTTTGGCAAAGGTGTGGGGTTGGAGGTGTGGATAGGCTGAGGGTCCAGGGGTCTGGGCCAATCCACTTTCTGCTTGGAAAAAGTTCCTTTCTCATTGGCTTCTATTGCCTATGCCCACTCTAGCTGGGGGTAGGGTAACCTGAAAGTGACCTGGGTCATGGGCTCCAGTGCCAAACTATACCTTATCCCCATAATTTCCATCCTTGCAGGTGCTCCAGTTCCCCCAGCTGAGACAATTGTCACTGAGCCTGTTGCCAGCACTCACAAATAAGGGTTTGGTGGCTGTGGCCAAGGGCTGCCCTAGCCTGGAGCGCTTGGCACTGAGTCACTGCAGCCTCCTCAGTGATGAGGGCTGGGCTCAGGCAGCCCGCTGCTGGCCAAGGCTGCAGTACCTCAACCTGTTAAGCTGCAGTCAGCTCACAGAGCAGTGAGTGTCTGATGATGCCACAGTGCAGGGGCTGGGCTGGGCTGGGCTGGGCTGGAGCCCCATACCAGGTCAGGCACTCATCCAGTGGCCTCCCTACAGAACGCTGGATACCATTGGGCAGGCATGCAAGCAGATCCAGATGTTAGATGTCGCCATGTGCTCTGGTATTAGCATGGCTGCCGTCAGGCGATTCCAAGCCCAACTGCCCCAGGTGACCTGCATCCAGTCCCGCTTCGTAGGAGGGGCAGACCTGACCCTAACACTCTGAGGCCAGGTCAGTAAGCAACCCCATGTCCCAGCCCAGGCTTTTTGACCTGGAGTTTGACTCGGTGCCTCCTGTTTCTCTCTGCTACAAACCCCAGAGCCTCTTCCCCAAGCTGTAAACTTTTCTAAGACAGGAGAGGGGCTAATCCAAAGCATCCTGGGGTATGCCCCATAGCCAATCAGGAGCCTCTTCCCAGGTACACAGTCCCTGGAAATGTCAGCTCCTGCTCTCCTGGCCAAACCTGGGTCCAGCGGGCCCAGGCCCACAGGTGGCTGGGTCTGGTGATGGGAAGGAACAGCCCTTGAGCTTCTTGCCCTACCCACTTCTGACATCTAAGGCCTGTGCCCCACCTTGTTCTACAGGCACTCCACCAGCCCCGTACCAGCATTGAGCTGTAGGAGCCTAGCCACCATCTTTGTTGTAAACCCAAACAAGATTAAAAATTCCAGATTTTACCTCCTTATCTGAAGTTCTCAGACTGGAGGTCTCCTCCTCGCTCTACCTCAGTTGAAGCAGCCCAGCCCAAGGATGATGGAGGAAACACCAGAGACTTCTTCCTCCTCAGGCCTGACCCGAATCTCCACATGTGCCCCCAGCAGATCCCAGCTTCTTCCCCACATGGTAGGAGACTCCAGAAGCCTGGATGCCTTTCCCAGCATGAGTCCCCAGGCAGGTCCTCCAACAAAGACACATTTGTGTGCATTTGGCCTAGCCAGACCCCAGGAACACATAATTAACAAATCGGAATCCCTGAGGAGGGAAAAAAAAAAAAAGATAGCATCTCTGGGTAGAAAGGATCGCTATAATGAGGTCATTTAGTCCAAGCTCTTAAACAGTGCCAGTGACTTCTCAGCAACAGCTCTGAGAAAGTCTGTCTGCTGGGCCCTCGATGCATCCACCCACACTTTGTCCATCTGTCTGTTCATCAGTTCTAGGAGCAGCCAAACCAGGCTACCTAAGCATCTGCAAGCACTGTGCTGTGTGTGGGTATTCATTGGTGATGAAGCTCCTCTAGCCCCCAGGCCAGTTGGGGAGACAAATTAGCCAAGAGACAGATACAGCCCCAGTGTGCAGGGTGTATACAAGTAGAGAAAGAAGAACCTGGATCAAAGAGCCCAGGGGAGCAATGAACTTAGCCTGGGAGGTAAAGGAAAGACTCAAGGCAGTTAAAAAAATTAGAAGAGAGAAGGAGCCAGAAGGGACTGAGGTGCAAATGGCAGGTCAGAGCTGTGCTGGGGGCGGGGGAGGGCAGTGAGCAGTGGGGAAGGTTCAGGCCCCAACAGTGTGCAGGGAGAATGCCAGCATGGATCAAGCACCTAGAGCCCTGCAAGTCACAGGCATTCTGTTGGAAGGGCTAAACCATGTCTGCAACCCATCTCAACTCTGCTCATCATGTTACCATGACCTTTATCTCCTGGACAATAGGGATACACTGAATACAGGGTGGGGATGGTGTGTGTTGAGTGTGTGATCAGATCAGCTTCACATTTGAGAAAGCAACTGGAGTAGCTGGTATCGAGGACTTGGGGGGAGCAAAACTGGAGACTGGAAGTCAGGAGGTTCTTGTCAAGATAATGGTGGCCTGCAAAAGGGACTGGAGCATTGAGAAGGAATACTGGGAGACTTAAATATATCTGGGATCCCTGCCCCCATTTCCAACTTGGATTTAATAGCAGACTATTCCAAGTGTGGGAAGTCTCTGGGCCCTGGCTCTGAGTCAGAAGCATGGCTGAGGGAGGGGAAGTTCAGCACATTCTACAAAGGAGATGTCATTTCATCACTTTTCAAGGTAACATGTTGATGGTTAACACTGTTAAAAAAGATATTTGAAGAGGTGTTGGAAAGAGGTAGTGAGAGGCATGGAAAAGGAGGTCAGAGGGTAGTGGCAGCTGTCCTGTGAGTCCAGTGGGTGGGTGTGCTCTTCTGCCTCAGAGGCTTGCGTCTATGACCATAGCCTCTGACAGTGATCTCCATCTGGGTCCAACAGCCCTAGCCGATTCTGTCCCCAGGTGCTCTGGCCTATCTGTGCCTCCACCCACCCTCCTGCAGTGGGTTTTAATCAGAATGCAAACTTCATTGAATTCCCTCTTGTTAGAATCAGCTCATAACCTCCTACCACCTGGAGACATCTGAAATCTCGAGGCTGTCCTTCAGCACAAAGCAGACTCAGCTTCCTGTCTCAACTTTCCTGTCTTTCACCAGAGGGCTTCCGAATTCCTCAAAGGACAAGGGGCAGGCCAAGCAGCGTTGAGGATTTAGCTCAGACTATCAGGAGCCTTCTAGAAGCATGGCTCCCAGACTAAGCCCCTCTTAATGCTGCCCAAGAAGGTGTCCACTTGGGGCAATGCTTCCTGCCCTGCCATCTCTCCGTCACCAGGCTGGCAGCCCCAGCACTTCCTTGGCTGGTACCCCCAAAACATAGGCCATCCCTCTCTGCAGGCCCAGCACTGAGGGAGTCTGAGGGCTCATCCTGGGGAAGGACAACAGGGCCGGCCTGTTCCCACCCTCCTTTAGAATACTACCCCCTAAATTGTAGGTGTCCAGCCTTGTGGCCCCAAGCTGTGGCCTGGCCCAGTGCCTCACATCTCATTCACCAGCTGAGTTTGAAGGTAGGCTTGGTCCACAGAGTTCCAAGCTGGCTCAACACATACCAAGAGCCAGGCAGACTTTATTTCTGTTTGTAGCCTCTGCTGGTCAGGGTGTCTGTGCTTCTCGTCTACTCTTTGTGGCCACCACAGTAGCAGCAGCTGTGGCCCCTGGCCAACCTGTCAAGGTTCAGCAATGCTGCAGTCATAGCAGAAGTTGAAATTGGTGGGGGGAGGGGGGATGGGAGGTGGCTGCTCCGGGATAGGCACGTTCTCCAGCTCCAGCAACCGCAGCTTGGTCTCCATGGTCAGCAGCTGCTCCAGGTCCAGTCGTGTCTGCTCACTGCCCATGGGACTTCCCAGTAGGGTACTCAGCCCATCTGTCCACAGGTGGAACTAGGGACAGGGCCAGCTCCATGAGGGCCTGCCCATCTCTTCCCCTGCCCATCTGCCCAATTCGGCTCAGCCTGCCCAGACACTCACCTCTCTTTTGGAGGGAGCAATGAAGTTGAGGTATGCCTCTTCCTCCCCATGGTCATAGCTGATTGTGAAAGCTAACTCATAGAGGTCCTAAGGAAGCAAGGGAGCCAGGAGCACTGAGCAGGGAGCATGGCAGGCAGGGCAGGTGGGAAGGAGCCCTGGCCTCCACTGCCCTCACCTTGTTCTGCTTCACCGAGCCCTTATCCCGAATGTGGGGGCAGTCCTTGCCGGTCAGTAGTGCCCTGATGTCAGCCACAGGGACTGGGAAAGAAAGCTGGGCTGACCACTGGGCCCCAGGTAGTCCCAGTGCATGGGGCAGTCTGGGGGAGCAGGTGTCTGACCCCTGCCCTCCTTACGCTGCTCAGGGAGGCTCTCAGGAGCAGGTGGGCTGGCATTGTCCTCCACATCTCCATACTGCAGCACTTTGTGGTTAGGCGACAGGCAGCAGAACCACAGCTTGTCTGTGGACAAGGAGAAGAGGAAAAGAGTCATGAGAGGGGCCCTGACCCCAACCCAGATGCACTTTACCCCCTGCCCATTCAATGACCCTGGCGTCTCCGGCTGCTGATCTTGCGGAAGAGTGTCCCCTCACAGAGGCGGAGCAAACGTTGCTGGCGGATCAGGCTCATGAGCTCTGGCTTCAGCTTCTCCCGCAGCTCCCTAGGTAGGGGGACGGGGCTTGCTGAGCAGGGGCAAGGGAAGGTGAGGGCTAGGACTGGGACCCATCCCCACCAACTCACAGTATAGGAGGGGCCAGCGTGCCCTCTTGATGCAGCCGCTCAGTCTGCCGTAGCCGCAACACCTCCCCATAGGTGAGTGCATTCACCT